CTGTTTATGCTGCTGGCGTCAGCATTTCTGTCATTATATCTACAACAGCGACAGCGTACAGCACGCACAATACTGCATTAGAATAATTGTAATTATAGTATAAAATGAATATAATAAATATAACGTATAATAAATGTGGGAAAAGAAATAAAATTTTTATCGAATACCTATGCTTGCCTAATGAAAACATACAAAATGTTTTTATTACAACACATAAAAATGTGAATATGAATTTTACTTGGTAAATATATATTAAGAATACCATGTATATACATTTTTTTAAATGAGACACGGAAAATTAATAAGGTAAACACAAGCAAATGTTGAATTGCAATATTCGAAATAGTCTACGAAGTACTAATGAAATAGTAGCTCAGTAAATCAAAAATCAGCATAATAAAATAGATACTAAAAGGAAATACAATAAGAATATCATACCTCAATTTTTAAGTTATGTACAGCAAGCACAATTACAACAGTTTTAATTTTTTCTAGTACATTATCAAATTTTGTTACCCGTGTAGCATTCTAACGACTTTCAGTGCGTAAAAAATCTTACGATATCACTTTACCTTCATGCATAGTAATTAATTAATACATTTAAGAATAAGGTGTCGAGATAGAATAGTGCAATAAGAGTAATATTAATAAATAATCATTTATGTGCTTTATTTTTTTAGCATAAGGATAAATTATTTTACCATAACAACCACAAAAAAAGTGTAAGCAAAAAAAAGAGTGAGAAAGTTTACAAATTTAGGCGACTATAACCGAACCATAAACCTCGAATCAAAGACATATTATGGTGGTTCAATCAAGACCGTTCACGACGCCGAGGTTATAGCGGTACAGCGTGCACCAATCGAAGGACAGACCACGATAACAGACCTTCCTGTTTCAGTACTGGTTGAGGCCTTGAGGGACCGATGACATCCAAACGACGGATCGGGTGAAGAATAATTTCGGAACACTAATATCGTACAGGAGTATGATGTGGACTTATATTGTACATTTATAATAAGGCATAGGTATACTATGTAAAAAAAAAGAGCGAAAGAGAGTGAAAAAATACGTTAGGCGTATATATACAAATGTAGAAAAAGGGTGCACATAGAAAAATATTATAAAAAATAAAAATGGTAGTTAAAAACTGGTTGAAATTTTACATTGACACTTGCAAAATTGTACGTAGATTTGATTTTCATTATTTATTTATTTATTTATTGAAATACGGGACGTGCCCAATTACATAGAATGTACATAAAGTAAGGAAAATTGTGAGAATTCCTGAAGAAAAACTAAATTTATTAGATATGAATTTAGAAAACGTAAGAAAATATTATCCATCAGACTCTTCTAGATTACCTAGATCTTTCCAAGAATTTGAAAACTTTAAGGCTACAGAGCTTCGTGCTCTACTTCTTTATACTGGGCCATTTCTCTTGAAAGGTATTTAAAAAAAAATCGGTTGTCTGTTAAGTCGGTTTACTGACGATAGTTGAACGTGACAACGTGTTAAGAAAATACTGAAGGAATGGTAGCATTTTTCAAAAGTAAATTTTAATTTCATTTGTTTAATAGATTTGTATGTATATAGAGAAGGAGGTAAATATAAATCACAATGGAATTTATAAATTTATAAATTTAAGGGGCAAAAATTATTTTGAAAATAAAATTCTTATCACTTTCCTTATCAAGAAAAACAATATTTAAGAAAATCCCAATAAATAATATCAAAAACTCAAAACCCCGAGTTTCCCCTTGGCGAGGTGGGTATTAGTACTCTCCTGGACCAAAATCCATCAAAAAAGCAAAATCCAAAAGGGGGCAGGAGGTGCCCCGTTCCCTAAAGCGGAAAACGGTAGTCTTCATAATAAGAATGGGTTCCCCCTTGGTCCGAGGTCTTTAACTTGAATTCCGGCCGAGTTACACTCAACTCAAAATGTGGGGGGGGGGCTTTAGTTCCCTAATGTTGAAAATTCATCTGGGGCCTAAAAAATTTAGATGCCCATTGGTCCGGGGTCTCTAAGTCGAATACCGGCTAAGTTATGCTTCGTCAAAAATAATTACTCGTTTAATGGGTCCCCCCCACTCCGCCCGACTATCGCCTCTATGCGCGTGACGACCGATGTTGGGTAGCCTACGCGAATGGAACCGCAGTGTTGCCAGATGGTAAGTTCCTAGTGAGGACATACGATAATATTGCTCCCTGTACGATCCCCCACCAATGTACGATAATTTTGAAGACGCGGTACGATCATCCCTCTTTCCAAACCTGGCAACACTGATGGAACGCCTCACAGCGAGGTAACGGCACATTTTTACGTCAAAAATACAGTATAAACATTTTATGCTATTGCATAGTTCAATACGCTTATTGGTGGCTCAGGAGACTCATATACTATATAATGATGAGGCTACATCTCTAATAAAACAATTTATTAGTGATTATATCATAATTTATGGTCCTGAGTAATATATCATACAATGTGCATAATTTAATACATTTGCCAGAGTGTGCTAAAATTCATGGGCCTCTGGATAAGTTTAGTGTTTTTAAATATGAAAACCACCTGCAGGAAATAAAAAAAAAATAAAAAAACAAGATTCCCATTACAAGAAGCATATAATAGGATAATTGAAAAACACCATCTATCAAGTAATTGCAGTGCATTTGGTATTGATACGTCTTCTGCAGTATCCCCGGTTTTTAAATATGAAATGTATTATGATGTTTATAAGCAATCTATAATCAATCCCACAGTAAAAATGTTTAAACAATTGAGTATTAATAATTTTTTACTTAATTCTGATAAAATTAAAGATCAATATTTATTTATTTATTTATTTATTTAATATAAACGGACGTGAGTCCTAAAACATAATAATATTACATTGTGAGTGAAAAAAACACACACATTAATACGTAAAACAATAATTAATAGTTTCTACTTAAAATTAGAGAAAGAATAAAATAATAATGCTAAATTAGAAATAGAATACAAATCAAATATAAAAATTATTATTTAAATATAATCAAAGACAAAAGTATTACCTGCAGTCATAAGAAGGTTAGCAGGAGAGTTCAAGATATAATTTTTTGTTGAAAAAAGTGGATAAAAGGGTTTTGGATCTCTAGTATTAAGGTAATTAATTTTAAAACGGACTAAAGAGAGAATTTCAGGACAATCTATTGAACCTAAAATTAGTTTTTGTAAAAATTTAGAGAGTAAAAGTGTACGACGGTCAGACAGTAGAGAAATATTAAGAAAATTTAAAACATTATTATATGAGCCGTGGACAGGTCTGTTTATGTTAAATTTGAAAGAGATAAAACGTAAAAAATTATTTTGGACAGATTCCAGCGTAAGAGCCTGTTTCGACGTACTATTTATCCAAATGAGGGGGCAGTACTCTAAATTAGAACGGACAAGAGAGAAGTAGAGGATTTTTAGGGGAATAGGATCTGAAAATCCAGCACAAGTACGCTTAATAAACCCTAAGTTACGAAAAGCTTTATTTTTAATAATTTCAGTATGCAGAGAAAAATTTAATTTACGATCAAAATTTATACCCAAATCTTTAAATTGATTAACAAGCTCGACATTTAATGTGACACCAATGTACATAATTTTATTAAGAAGTTGATTTGATTATTTATGTGAGATAACATTTTGAATAAATAGCTTTATTTTATTTTGTTAATATCTAGTATAGTATAAAATGATTTTGTTTTTTAAACATGTACAAATTATATTTCAATAATTTTATTATAATTATTCATATAATGTTATTAAGTTTTGATTATTTATGTATGTCGTATGGGAGATAACATTTTGGCATTTTACACATAAGTTTTCTTTTAATCCATCTATGTAAATAATTTTATTATTAGGTATTATTATATATTATATTATTAAGTTGATTTGATATTGTTTATGTAAGATAACATTTTTTTTTCACAGTTCGATTTTAATTTTGTTAATTGTATTCTAAAAAGATTTTGGTTTTTAAAATGTTGATAATTTGAAACAAGTTATTACTTATTCTAATAATCGCTTTTGTTAATTTTTTTTATTACCTACAATAAAAAAGTTTTATTTTAGAATATATTATATAATTTGTTTTTTCTTTAACGTATATTATATATACATTGAAACCTTTCCTGATAGTTATCTCCAAAAAGTGAATGTTTTTTGGGAAAAATAGCTTCGAACTTTGACGCTGTCCCGCACAAAATCTGTTTGAATTCAAACAGCCTTTGCGCGGAAGCCGCGCCGTGGCTTCTCAATCAAACCGCCAATCGACGACGGACGACGCCGGCGCGCGACACCCGCGCCTGGAACCGTCGGCCGGCCGTCCGGTGAACCGGATTGTCAAGACTCTCTCTCTCATCATCTCGACACCGACCCGTACGCATTTTAACATACCCTACATTGTTTCACAACCGGGCTTTCCTGATTGGTTTAATTTAAATTCGCGCGCATAATATCAGTTATCTATTATCCTCTTATCAAAATATAATTATTTAAATTATAATCTTATCAATAATCAGCTATTATAATCTTATAATCAATTATCAATGGGTCGAGTCAAGGAATCTACGTATCTATTATATTATTTAATGTAGGAACTAGATAAAAATAAAAAATCAATAAATAAGGGAAAAGATAATTTTTTTTTGTTTTGGGTCAGAACCGGCCTTGAGTAACATTTGTTGTTCTTTTAGGCGCCTTTTTTCCGCACCACTTTTCAATTTGGTATTCATTTTAACGGTGGAGAACGATTCCGCAAATTTTGCGGAATCGTGTTGATTTTAATAGCCACTGATGTACATACACGACTCCGCAAATTTAATATATATATACACGATTCCGCATAATTTTAAATACAACGTTGCCATTCCGAAAACAAAATCTATATTATTGTAAGGGCCGAGCCACACTTGAGTGATTTTGGCGCGCGGTACGCATACGACGGTGGCACCCGTGGTACGCGCGTTAAAATGACGCGTGGTACTCGGGCGATACACGCGCGTTTTCACAGCGCGTCAAAATCGCTCCAGTGTACTCCCTTTTTAACCCGTGTATTGTGTATAGCTGCATAAAATATTTAGGGCAATACTCAAATGTACCATCACCGAATAATTCGGTACAATTTTTTATTAAAAATGAAATATTATTAGCCGTTGTTATACAAACAAATTGTTCATTTGGTGGAGCATGAATAAATTGTTGGTTTTTGTACATAAAGCTATCATCTAATTGTAAATTTCTTAGCTGTTCTAAAGCTTCGTTTAGCGATTTGGGTAGCGAGGACATTATTTTTCGGCGTTTATCGTACATAGCCTTTCTTACCGATGTAATATCTGAACATTTAATAGCCAATTGTGTTTTAAGTAATTCTGTTCTAATAATTTTTACTGGCCTGCATGAAATAGATTCTTCTGCCTTTCGTTTGCAGTTTTCTCTCAAAACTTGCCTATCTAATTTTGATTGAGGATCTGCATCATGGTTATGGCTGCCAGAGACGTCGCAAACAAGTATCTTCTCAGGCGTAGAAAAAATGATCGCCGTACAATTTTTATTAGTTGAACACCTCCATTTCAGAGCACCGTCTTTTTTACGATAACCAACAAATCTGTGTTTATATAAATTTACTAAAGCTAACTCTTTCCCTCGCTCGGAAGTAATTAACTCAATACGCGAACCGATCATTTTTTTAAAAAGAATTATTTAATGTTGTCAAATTGGAAGTATGTCACTGACTAAATTGATTTCACCTGTAAATGTTAGGATTTGGGAAAATATTGGAAAGAATTGTATATTATATTTTTATATATAATACTTGTAGGCTGTAGCTATAGGTTTATATTGTGTAACATAATTGACATTTATCTATTACTTTATCTTATATATAATACTTTATACTTAATCTTATAAACGACGATAGCATGAACGTTATCTTATCGCATAATAATATAGCTGAAACAAACTCATATACGTTTAATTCGTTATGTTGCAACGGAAACTTTGGCCAAAAAAACTTATTTTAACAAGTAACAACGGAAATTTCGTTATATCGTTATTTCATTATACGAGTACACTGGAGCGATTTTGACGCGCTGTGAAAACGCGCGTGTATCGCCCGAGTACCACGCGTCATTTTAACGCGCGTACCACGGGTGCCACCGTCGTATGCGTACCGCGCGCCAAAATCACTCAAGTGTGGCTCGGCCCTTACAATAATATAGATTTTGTTTTCGGAATGGCAACGTTGCATTTAAAATTATGCGGAATCGTGTATATATATATTAAATTTGCGGAGTCGTGTATGTATATCAGTGGCTATTAAAATCAACACGATTCCGCAAAGTTTGCGGAATCGTGTTATAGCCCATTTTAAACCGTAAGGTAAATAAAAATAACAACAATTTAAATACACTTTATACACTCGTTGAAGGCACTTCAACAGTTACTCGTATTTAAGGGGATTGGAAGCGGCGATTTTCTGTCTTTATCTAACACACGTGGAACATAGGATTATAGACGTGTTCTATGTCCAACGTACCGATTAATCTAATGAAGCGATAAGAATTCTGAAAACAGATTTGAATTTGTCGTAAAGTCTACTTGAGATCGACTTTCCCACATTTTTGATATTGTCCCACCAAAATCATAAAAATGATATATTATAAAAAGTACTTAAAAAATTTACAAATTTCAACTTTTGGAGAAGTTTAAATCAAAAAATCAAAAATGTGGGAAAGTCGATCTCAAGTAGACTTGACGACAAATTCAAATCTGTTTTCAGAATTCTTATCGCTTCATTAGATTAATCGGTACGTTGGACATAGAACACGTCTATAATCCTATGTTCCACGTGTGTTAGATAAAGACAGAAAATCGCCGCTTCCAATCCCCTTAAGTATTTTATACACCTTTATTAAGCTCCGGTGCGTTGATACGAACAACTCGTGACTCGGAGCAAACTGTGAATAACTAGTTGACACCGGCCTGCGTAGCAGTCCCGTATGGCGTATTTATATTGGTATATATTTAACGAGTAGGTCCGAGTGCATAGACGAAACTTAATTTTCAAAATATTAAGACATGTCTAAATACAGTTACTATAAATGGTAACCTTATTTTAATTTAATTTTATATTTATGAACATGAAGTTTGGGGGCCCAGTCCGCGATAATACAGCATCTGGTTTGTTCACGGCAACTAGTACCTACTGCAGGCAACGGCGAACTATGTTGATACCGTGTCGGCGGCGTTTTGACGGCGGTGGCACTTATTCACGATGTATTATGCGGGTATCCGAATAGGTACACGGCGGCCACGTTATTTAATGACTACGATTTCGTTTTGGTACCTACTTACTGTAATAACGACGGTGCGTAATATTATTGATAATGACCATTAAGCTGATACAGCGGTGTTCAATACGGACGGCGGCGTTTTGGCGACGGCGTTCTCGTATGACGGCGGTATCTCGATATTTATAGTTGTACTGTATGTACCTATTAAATTAGGCCCCAGATACAAGTGAGGGTGTGCGGATACTAAGTCGGGCGGCGGCGGCGACGGCTCGGCGTCCACGACGGTAACGACAATTTACACGCGTGTGAAGTTGGGTGACCAAAGCTAGGTGACCAATTTTTGGTGATAAGAAAACTTGTATGCTCGGTTGCATTACGGTATTTTCTAGACGCACAATGTTTATATTGCCGTTTGTATGTTCTACTTCTATTTCTAACCACAAGATAGCAGTAAAGGATTCTTCACGAAATATTATAAGGTCACCTAAACTTCATGGTATTATAAAATGACGCCGCGAAGCCAGGACATAGCGCTATACACGACAGCCATACGACGCGAAACGTATACGCGCGCGTGGTTTTTGATTTTTACGGCAGTGTTCCGGAAGGAGTCGAAGGACCTAACATAGATATTCGGAAATCCAGGAAAATTTACTATCCGACGAGATAAATTTCAAGAGCTCCCTGACTTTTTAAGTAACCGTACTTAGTGCACGAAAGTGCCAGGTGACTAATGCCGGTATGACGTGAAATATATACGCGCGTGTGGTTTTTGATTTTTCCGGCAGTGTTCCGGAAGGAGTCGAAGGACCTAACATAGATAATCGGAAAGCCAGGAAAATTTACTATCCGACGAGATAAATTTCAAGAGCTCCCGGGCTTTGGGGGTAACGATACTTAGTGCGAGAAAGTGCCAGGTGACTAATGCCGGCATGACGTGAAACGTATACGCGCGTCTGGTGAACAATGCCGGTAGGGCGCGAAACGTATACGCGCGCGTGGTTTTTGATTTTTCCGGCAGTGTTCCGGAAGAAGTCGAAGGACCTAACATAGATATTCGGAAAGCCAGGAAAATTTACTATCTGACGAGATAAATTTCAAGAGCTCCCGGGCTTTGGGAGTAACCGTACTTAGTGCACGAAAGTGCCACGTGACTAATGCCGGTATGACGTGAAATATATACGCGCGTGTGGTTTTTGATTTTTGCGGCAGTGTTCCGGAAGGAGTCGAAGGACCTAACATAGATATTCGGAAAGCTAGGAAAATTTACTATCCGACGAGATAAATTTCAAGAGCTCCCGGGCTTTGGGGGTAACCATACTGAGTGCACGAAAGTGCCAGGTGACTAATGCCGGTATGTTGCGAAACGTATACGCGCGCGTGGTTTTTGATTTTTACGGCAGTGTTCCGGAAGAAGTCGAAGGACCTAACATAGATATTCGGAAAGCCAGGAAAGCCAGGATTTGCAAAATCTTGATTAATTTTAGCTTCGATATCTGTATCTATAAACAATTCCTTAGCTGAGGTCTTAAATGCTCTATTCTCTGCTGAATTTTCCACGTTCGGGCGTTCATATGTTGCTTCTAATTTAAGATTATATTTAATTGGTTGTTTTGTTGATAGTGATTTGAGTAGTTCTATTAAGTCTTTTTTTATTGATTCTAAAAATGTTCTGTAGGTGGTCAAATTATCTGTATTTTTCACGTAATACCAATTGATTTTATTCGATAACGATGTGCCTGTCTTAATGAATCCTCGTGTCTTGACGATGCTCATGCGTGTCTTTTTAGCATTTGCTGCTTCGTTCGAATTTTCAGTATGATATGGACGCTTATTACCATTGCGAGATTGAACTGAAAAAAAATAATTTTACTATTGTATTGCTAAACATTATATGAACGCGTGTTACAGCTTGAAAGTCTAAAAAAGTTTTTAATGGGATAGAAAAGATAAATTGTTTTTATAAATATAAACGGTTTTTTAGTAAAAGTACCTGAAGCAAAATTAAGAATTTAAAAAAAATGTTAGTGATGTGTTTATCATATAGAAAATACGATTTTTAAAAATATACAAAAAGAGGTAGGTATCAAGCTCTAGTATTACACACATGTATATATTATATATGTAAAAGCAAAAACAAATATGATATAGAGCTCTCAGCTATAGTAATAATACACAACGTTCTTTTGTGTAGCATGAAATAATAGTAAAGGTAAGATGTATATACACTGGCGTTCATAATAGTTTATTAAGATATTTATATAAAAAGGTCTGCCTATTTATGTTTTTATTGGTATTATATTAAATGTGTATATGTTTTTCATAGAAAAATAAAATATTCATATTGTATTATTATATATGTATAAAATGATCAGATATATTTATTAAAATATCTGTTTATACTTAAAAATATAATATATAATAAATTAAAATTATTTATGTATGTTTTTAATAACGTTATGACATTAATCGTATGGAAATATTTTCAAATAATATATTATTACATGTATTTATCAAAATTATTGAACAATTTTACGAACATTTACAAGATATATATACATAATATGATCTTAACGGGTTAACTATGATGATTATAGGACTTATCACGATTTTGTGTACATTTCTATGATTTTATACGACTTAGTATATTTTTATATTTTATATTTTTATAAAGTAATATTTATTTTATTTCAGCGATAAAGTAATAATTGTACATGAAGTGTTCTATTTTTTATAAAGTACCTAATATATTTATAATTAGCTAAGTTAGTTATATAATATGTATTATATATATATGTCGCATCCATATCGCGTTATTGTGCGTTTCGCGAAATGGACAACGTTTGCATCCATTTCGCGTAATGAAACAGCGGTTTCTCCACTTCACGTAATTACACAATATGGATAATATTTCGTGAAATGGATACCTAAACTATCGTCAACGGAACTTGTTCCGTCATTTGGATGTCCATATAGCAAAACTTAAAAAAACTTTTATTTTTATATTTTATAATTATACTATTATCGATTATCATAATATATTACAATTAATACTTTAACTCGTACAAACTATTATTTATTTAGACATGCTTGTGAGTTATGACAACGAGAATTACATTTTAAATTACTTTTAAAACAAAACTTAACTTTTAAAACTTAAAATACTTTAATACAAACTATTATGTTTACAATTTGTTCAAGTTCAAAAAAATAGTTCTCATCATCGTGTGATTGGTAGGTCACCGTATAAGGCTTTATTTGGGAATGATCCAAAAGTTGGTTAGCAACATCCAATTTACCAATAGAAATTTTACGAAAATTGGTAACGGAAGAAGACTTAGAAGAAATCTACAAAGAAGATATTCAAAGTGAGATCGAAAAAATAACTGT